GGGACACTCTTGTGGGACACTCTTAAGGGACACTCTTGTGAGACACTCTTGTGGGACACTGTTGCGGGACACTCTTGCGGGGCACTCTTGTGGGACACTCATACGGGACACTCTTGTGAGACACACTTGTGGGACACTCTTGTAGGACACTCTTGTGGGACACTCTTGTGGGACACTCTTGTGGGACACTCTTGTAGGAAACTCTTGTGGGATACTCTTGTAGGACACTCTTGTGGGACACTCTTGTAGGACACTCTTGTGGGACACTCTTGTAGGGCACTCTTGTGGGACACTCTTGTGGGACACTCTTGTAGGAAACTCTTGTGGGACACTCTTGTGGGACACTCTTGTGGGATACTCTTGTAGGACACTCTTGTGGGACACTCTTGTAGGACACTCTTTTGGGACACTCTTGTAGGGCACTCTTCGTACGAGACCTCCTCCAAAAGTCACACGTCAATTCTCCAAAACGAGCGTTTCGTACTTCGTACGAGACTTCCTCCAAAAGTCACATGTCAAGTCTCCAAAACGAGCGTTTCGTACGAGACTTCCTCCAAAAGTCACGTGTCAAGTCTCCAAAACGAGCATGTCGTACGAGACTTCCTCCAAAAGTCAAGCGGAAACACCCATCGGAGCACACACATCACGCAGCCCTGCCAAGCAGTTTCGCGAGTCCAGCCCCTCCAAACAACACCCGTTCACACGCCAATCCCACTGTGACAGCGACATTCACCTCTACCACAACTCACACCCTCACAATTCCTTGCGCCTGCCACGAATCTTTCCGCATCCACACGTCTAACGCGCACAAAGTACTGCGCCTGCCACGAAATGTCACCTCCGTCACACCTCGCAACCTCACCATTCCCTGCGCCTGCCACGAGAATCGCACTTCCACGCCTCAAAGCCCCACACAAAGTACTGCGCCTGCCACGAAAAGTGGCAATATCATCTCATGTCAGCTTCAACAAAATTTGCACCACGCCACACGTTTGGAATGATTTCGACCCGTTCTGAACACACTCCCATCCACCAAAATCGCCATTTCAGCTGAGACTGGTCACGAAAACAGAGCTTCGATGCCACACCCTGAAACGCAAATCCCAATGGCACAGCCACATCCAACGCCCCAAAACACGACTCTCCAAACGCTAATCCCAATGGAACTGCGTAGCAAACTGAGGATCTCACAAAACGCTGCGCCTGTGCAGCGAAATGCATCACGCTTCTTGCGCGACATGTCATTTTCATGCAAATCACAATGGAATAGCGTCGCAAACTGACACGTGACACATCCATGAAAAGTCACTTGCAAAAGCAGCGCCTTAGCGCTCTACTGCGGACACCTGCGGACGGTTTCGAACGGTTGCGAACGGTTGCGGACGGTTGCGGACGGTTGCGGACGTAGAAACAACGGATCGCGAACAAGGCTCTACCCCAGACCCCCAAGAGTTAAACGAGAACCCTCCGCTACGCATTCGGGAAAAAAAGAGACAGCACAGACCCCAGCTATAGATATTTGTCGGCAGCTGCAGCTGCACGCTGCAGCACCAGCACCCAGGCTCCAATGACATAGACATCTGGCAGCAACACCCTCCAACTGCGGCATCAGCACCCAAGCTCCAAAAAGCAAGCACACGGCCATTGACATCTCCCACCACCCGGGAGCGGCGCCTGGCAATGTGAGAGGACGGAGTTTCGTTATTCCAACAAGACAGTCTTAGCCACTAGTTTGGTAGAAATCACGCCAGCAAAAACCCCAGGTAGCAAAAATGATTATATATATATATATATTTGCGGCAGCAGTAGCAGCAGTGCCCTGCACCGCCACCAGCACCCAGGCTCCACTGCCATTGGCATCTGGCAGCAACACCCCGCAGCGGCAGCAACGGCATCCTGCAGTGGCCCAAGCACCCAAGCTCCAAAGCGCACACCGCCCTGGACGTCTCGCAGCAACCTGGAGCGGCCCTGCAGCTGCCGTATTTTGCATCATGAGGTGTGTCTGGGAGATAAGTGGAGGTGGAAGAAAACATTGAAAACACATGGTTTTCAGATGGCATGTACTATACCTCTCATTCTTGTATCATTTGCATCACAAGGAACATGAAAGGCAAGCAAACACCTCGTCTCAACACTCTATGTCTATATAAATCTCTCATTATTGCATCATATGGATCAGTTGGTTGCAATTGTAACTCTCATTTTGTATCATGTGCATCACCAGGCCCATCACAGGCAAACAAACGACTCCCATCGACACTCTATGTGTTAACATATCTCTCATTGTTGCATCATATGCATCGGCTGGTTGCAATGCAAAGCTTACTGTACATAATCACTCTATTCTTCAAGTCCTTTCTGGTGGACCAACTTGTATCAACACCCCCCTGAGAAATGTAAACGTTCAAGAGGATTGAACAACTGAGTGATTATGGACAAAAAACTATACCAAGTGCATGACCGAGACAAGACTTGGAAAAGAACGCAGCATGCAAAGGATGAAACAGAGACTTCTATATAATCGAGCCTTCTTACAAATTGTTTAGCTCTTGCAATTTGCCACATTGATTGAAAATACGTTTCCACCCCTTTTCCATTTTTCACAATTTGGACCCCCTTAAATTGTACAATTTCAAGAGGTCGAACAATACAGTAAAATATGGAATGCACATGCTCGAGGCAAGACTTAGAGAATAGAGATGAACAGCCGCATGCAGTGGATGAATAAAATACAGTAGAAGTCTATATAATCACTGTGTCTTTGGACCCTCTTACAAAATGTTTGGTTACAGTATGTCATGCTTGCAATTTCCAAGCATCGTTGGATATGATTTGGACCACGTGAAAATGCACAATGTCAAGAAGGTCGAAAAATTGGGTGATTATACACGAAATGCTACACAAAGGGGTCGAAAATAGAATGATTAGATTGATTACAGCACGAGAAAGAGCTATCTCAAAAAGCACCTACCTCACCTACAAAAAAGAACATGAAGCCTTCGGGGAAATCAATTCTCAAGCTCAAGCTTCATCTAAGCTTCCTCTACTGACGTATGAGCGTCATTGCGCGCAAAGCATTCCAGCATTAGGTTTCCTGCTTCATGTGCTGCACTTACCTCAGTGTGGAACTGTATCAGCTCGGCTCATGACTGATCTAACAAAATATTGAGTATTGCTTTTTGCGGCACTGGCAATGTCACAGCATCACAGAACAGGTGCTAGCCTTTCCCGACCCACTCTAGTCCCTGAGTACGCACATAACCTTCTCGGCCACGGCTTTACAAGCTACCGCTTCGTCAAGGTAGCGTCGGAGGTTGCTCTCATCGAGGTCAGCCATGGGTTAAGAAAAGGAATCAAGTGGATCAAGGAGCCAGGCCAAGGCTTTGCCACAGGGGTCTTGAGCACCTTTGAACAGGCACCTTTCCAGTGATAGTCACCAGCTGCTTGGCTCACAACGTGCAAACTCTATGTGGTCATTCAGTGTTCCAGTTCACTACCAGCACGCTTCATGGTCAATTCTGAAACCGACGAAAAATGTGAATAGGGCACGTCAATAGGCTCAGAAGGACTAAGCACTCTGCCGAAGAGCCCGACGGTCCTCCGAGTCAGATTGTTAGGAATCAGTAGCAATCACTGGTATATAAAGGAACCGTCTGATGTCAGGAGTCCCGTTCTCTTCCGTCTCTTCCAAATTCAGCTCCTAGAGGTGGAAGTTTGGGCTTCGAAGGTCCCAGCTGCTGGCTGTGCGAACTTCCAAACCTCTGCGAGTATCTGAAGCATGGCGCTGCAACCAACTCGCTATGCGAAAGCTCCTCCGGCTTCCATAGCTGCCATGGCCCGAGGCATCCACGTGTACTCCTTGCTCGCAGAGGAACCGAAAGTGTCCTGTGATCATAGCCCCAGCACTTTCAAACAAACACAACCGGCACACCATGGCTTCCATGAAGAATGAATGTCATATTACATCATACTACAATCAACCAGAAAAATAAATCTCCTCTAAACTTTCTGCACCGCTGCCGGCCTCAGTGCAAGATGCATCTCAGCTTCTAGGATGAATCTGATCTGCATCAACTACATAACCATAGGAAAAGCTTCTGACACTGGTGCTGCCATCTACTGATCCGACCTCAGCACATTCAAAGTCACTCTCTGATGTCACTGTGTCACAACTGGTTCGCTCATTGGAGCTCAGGCCGTACCAGCTCCATCCGCCTTGACACCCTTTGCTTTGACATCCGCTACATCACCCACCTGGCAAAACTGCTCACAAAAGTCTGACAACTTAAAGACCCACTGAACAGTACCGCTTCGACCTCCTCATCCACTTCTTTCGTTTGCTCAGGCTTCTTTGGCTCGCTTGGCCTTGCAAGCTTCATTGGTCCGAACCCTGAGAAAAGTTGTTCTGCTGCAGCGGCTTCCTGTTCTGGGTGCAGGCACTGACTTTCGGAAGTCTTGTCTGCCGACATCCATGGGACCTGTTTTCAAAACCACACGCAAAGCCGAGAGAACGGAGGCCACCGGTTGAAAGCCTGCAACGGCAAATGCCGATCGTCCCCGCTCCCCCGGCTTCCAGGTGCTATAGATTGCTATCGGGCGAGTGGTACCATGTCAAGCCACCTCCACATGTTGCAACTACCTCTCTCTCTGACAATCGTGGAAGTGGAAAATAGGCCACTGCAAAAGGCTTCCTGTGCAAATCGTACCTTGCCGTGCCCCAATGCATTTTCAATTTTCAACCAATAATTGATCTGAGGCTGCATTGAAGAAACTGCTCGGCAACCTTTGACCGAGCTCCCCAAAGTTCAAAGTGAAATAAGTTCGAGCAGGTCCGCCTCTGGACGTCTGCCATGCAGCTTGAAAGGTGATAAGCGAAACGCACCTCTCCGCTAGATTGGAGTGCCCGAAGCTATCGCATCAGAAGCAGCGTGGCACGTTCTAGGATTCTAGGGCTACTCAGCAGTCATGATCCCGGGAGCTTTGGCACAAGGCTCGATTCCCTTGGATGCAAACAGGAACGCACAAACTCCACAAACCTGCCACCCCTCAAGAAGCCAGCTTCCCGTATTTCTTCTGTTTTCGGGCCAAGATTCGAGCGAGTTGTCATGAGACCCAGCCTTCGTTTTGGAACCTTCAGCATGCTATTGCGGTCTGGACCAACTCCTACCTGAGAGCCACACCACTTCACACCGACACCAACATCAAGGAGAAAAGCAACATGGAACACCTTCAAAAGTAAGGCAGTCGCACTATGCGAGAACGGGGATCGAATCTGAAACTTGTCCCAAAGGGCCGACGCAAAATCGTTCCACAAACTACCTTGAAGGCTTTAATCGATAATTGCTGGGGCTCCCGTGATTGATCCCGAACACAAGAGAATAAGGCCCCAATTTCCATAATGATTGTCTTGTCTGAAATATACAGTCAACCCTTCGCCAAGACACCCAGGAGACAGGAATGCCCAGTAGCTCTTCAATCCTGAAGACATTTCTATAAGCATGCAGAAAGCTTCAGGGCCTACAGTTGCAAAGCAGGTGTCCTCACAACGTACTTCTTGGCATTTTCAGGCAGCTCTTCCCAACTTGCACATTTGGATATGTCTTCTGCCCACCCTTGCAGGGTTTCCTTAGTACAAATGTCGCGGCACAACTGAGAGCAACAGGAACCGCAGCAGTGGGTGGCTGAAACGGGGTACACACAGGAACTCAGGCGAACAGCAATTTTTCGAAAGAAACGATCCAACCAAAACAAAACAAGACAAAAAAAATAAGCATCACAAACACAACCGTATGCACAATCCGTAAATATGTCTGTCCCCATCATTGCCTCGGATAATCTCTGCAAAGTGTCATACTCACAAACCACCTCCTGACAGGCGAGATCAATTGACAGCAAGTTGACAGAGCGGTAGCTCAAGAACTAGTGCCCACAATACTGACAACACCACCAAAGTGCTGTTTTCAATAGAAGCACGCCTTGAGATCATCCAAGTGTGATGGGAAATATCCATTCGGAAGGCGCACTTCGGTCATTTGTCGATTCCTTGGTTCTCGTCGTATCGTTCACATTGCATTTTTCAAAAGTTAGTGTCAGCAACACTATTGCAGCAATGGCTCCTGTAAGCTATTGCAACCCGAATCTGCTTCAGCCCAGTGAGGACATCAAGCTTCGTGATGTTCAGGCTGTCCTTAGCTTGGGCTGGAAGAGCCCTGCCTTGTGGATTTGCGGTTCTCTCCAAGTATCAAATCCATTCACCAGCGCCGAGTATTTTACCAAGGCCTTGGAGCAGTCTGCCACAAGCTGATCTCGGTCAAGGACTCAAGATTTGAACTGAAAATGCCAAACGATGGTTAATTATTCATAAGACACACTCACAGGTCTATTAATGTTTTGCAAGAGTCCAGCTGCAGCTTTCACAGTCTCAATAATGTGAATGTTTGCTGAGATCAGATTTACAGGTAAAGAAAAAGGCTTGTGAAGGTTCCCGCTTGGAGCTCGAAGGCACTCTGACAGAAATTGCACGCAACAACGAACCCGACGTGACGAACGCAAGCTGTGGCTTTGCTACCTAGCCGTACTTAGATTCACTGCCACGGCTGCATGCAGTGCAAAAAGACTGCAATGCGTTTCTTATCTTCAAATAGCTAAGGAACCAAATCCAACCAACCACATCTTCTTCTCCGCCCGGTCGTTGTGCCATACTCGGCACCAACTTCCTGCAGCATCATCCCAACCTGCACGGTTTGAGACTCTGAGACTGCGCAATTCTCTCGTTAAGATTCCACGGAACGTGACGCGCAGTGTCACCGAACAGTACAATCATCTTTCAACTTGCACCAACTTGCACCGAATGGAACCTTGACAGGCTGACCAGGGGTGCACTTGAAAGGCCCACCTGCCAAAGCATGAATCTTTGCTCAAGCGCACATGACGTCAGCCTGCATGTACTGGCCTGTATGCCCCTTGCGTTCGAAGGTGGCCTCTGGCCCTATGTATGTCTCATCAAAGTCCTGGCAGCGCTAAGCTCCTCCTTGTGACCTGTAAGCCTTGAACATCTTAGCAGCCTCCAAGGACTGCATTTCATTCTGCAACTCCGTCGGGAAAGGCCCGTGTCCAACTCGTGTGGTGTAGGCCTTCACCTTACGTCCACTGCTTCAGTCTGTTTTACATCACTCATAGGCCCATAGGAGAGACAAAATGACTGGGAGCCCTGCCACTCCAATCACTGTGTCTACCAGTTTTGGTGGCACGCCAAGTCCAGTGCAAACACTTCCAACTGTCGTGTTGGAAGAAGTGACAAAGGGATAAGTACCTCAGCATAACGGACATGTTTGTCACTATATATATATTACATCCGCACCATCAGAAAAATGGAGCATGAGAGCACAAGTCCCACGACCCGGCGCTTTCTCCACCCTTTTGCAAACATCAAATATCTAGCGAAGATCTACCACGCTTCTGGAAGCCAGATGGCTTCTGCGGGCAAGCATTCTCTCAGGCTTCCTCGGCCGGAACACGCCACTTGGCCAAAAAGTATGAGCAACTGATGACCTGGAAACAGCTCAACATGTCCTCACTCGTTCATCAATCCACACAGCTTAACGCAATCAAGCAGCCAAAGTCGACATCGAGGAGTGCAGCGTTGGCACCCTCAACTAACACCTGGTCACAAAGAGGTTGTACCCGACCACTCCGCAGCAGCAGACACCAAACGGCAATAATCGTCTATCTTAGGACTCTGTCACCTTGCAAGCAGGAAGGCACATAATACTTAAGAGCGTAGCTTGTCTATATACATGGGTTCGCGTCAAGGCCCCCTTTTTCTCAGTTTTCTCAGCCTTGGATCCAAGTGATACATCTTGATGCAAGAACGTCACCGAGTCCACAATCTGTGTCCGCAAGAGCTCTGAATACCTGAGTTGACCCGGCATGATCCAATTGTCAACGTTGTGCATAGCGTGACTCGACGGGCTTGGGTGCCAAGCACCGGTAGTGAGGCTGAGGAGGTTGCTTCCTATAGCGTTCAATCTCCTCCTCCAAATTCTTCACCCCACCCTTCTGACCGTGTTCAGGATCAAATGCAGACCTCAGGAATCTGGAAGTGACTAGCCCAATATGCCATTCAACTCCGTGATGTGTCTGTGATGTGTGTGTGGTCTCCGAGCAGTGATGTACCGTACGGGCTCATGACAATCCATATGAATCCTGAACAGCCCATCAATCTACTACTGAGGCTAGTGCTGCGTATTGTACTCTCCCAAAGCTTTCCGCAGCTGCAGTTGTGCTGCTGAGTCCTGCCAGCACTGAAACTGCTGTTGTGGAATGCCTTCAACAATGGGGTCTACCCAAAGGCTGTCTCAAGCCAATCACGTGTGCAGTTTGCAGGAGTCGCTGCTAAGGTCCTTCTCCCGAGGATGGCTGTAGCGTTTCTGGGACCATGCCTTGGGACAGATGGTCGTGCTCAACAAATCGCCAGAGCTCTTGGTAGGCTTGACACTTTCAAGCCACACAGCTTTCAGCGCCTTTCCCCCTTGGCTCCACAAGCTCTGAACGTAAGTTAGCCAGGTGGCCACTCAGTCTTGTTCAATGCCACTAATTCGGTTGCATGATGCTTCCTACCACTGGCCCTGTTTCTGGACCCAAGCCAAAATCCCTGGCAGAATCAGAGATCCCTCATGGCTCGTCTGCCGTGACGTTTTGCCAACACAAAGTTATGTCTTGAGACATTGAATCTACTGTTCGTGCCTGTTGTCCCGTGCACAAAGGTCTACTCCATGTTGAGTTCTATTCCCTTCACATGCCCGCCCTTCACAGTTCATGTGAAGCGCTTTCAATTGCACGGGGCGAGCCAGATCTTATAACTGTACAAAGCCACCGGTGGATCACAGGCTGTGCATTGGGTGCATGTCCGAATTTTGACTGCCCACCTCTGCAAACCAGCGCGCCAACCCGTCCTGATGGCTTCCAGCCAAACTGAATGGACTGAACGATGAAGGGGGTGCACTTCGAACAACAGCATTGTCCTCATCCAGGCTGATGAAGTCCTCCTCTTGCGTTGATTCCCACAAAGGATCAAGTAGGTGGCCTGACATGTAGAGTCTTGCGCAGACATGTGGCGAACTGATCTAACTGCCTCTTTTGACCACCAACCGCAACCGTGCAGTTAGCCCGTTGTCCATTTCAGGCCTCCAGGCACCTGCAACGCGCTGCTCAGCTGGGCCGCTCGGAAATGGTGAAATGCCGAGGTGAACCGGGAGGAGCCGTGGGAGCAACCCTCCTGAACGAGAGGAGTAAGGAGACACAAGAAGATTAAAAAATAAGAGGAAAAAAAAAAGGAGAAAAAACACTAGGAATTGACGGGAAGTCGAATAGGAGAAGTGACCACAAGTGTCTTCGCACAAGTCAGCTGTGAGTGTCTCAGCGTGGGTGAGTCGCAGCTCGCACCTTGCTGTTCATTATGGCTTCGACCAAACTAAGCTTGTCCGAAAGTACGCGTTTGATGGCCTCCTTCCGCGCATCATGTCACAAATTTCTGACACTGATTAGACCACTAGAAGCTAGACTGTCAAGGTCCATTCGACTGGCTTCATTCAATTGGAATAGTCGCCTTCCAACCGTTGGACTGTAACCCGTCACTTTCCAGGACTACTCCTCTCCTCTTGCTGGCTGGCCCGACTTTCGATTATTGACCACCAGGCTGCCAAACGAAGTGGAGACAGATTTCGGTAACGCTGCAGGCACTGAGCTGCTGCCTTGGTTCATTCTAAAGCTATGGTTTTTCATGATGAGGACCCTGAGAAAAGCTGCAAGCTCAGTGGCTATCACGAACCAAGCATCAGTTACATGGTCTGCAACAGAATGCATCCTGAATTTACTTTGCAAGCAGGTGTCTGCTTCCAAATCTGCCCCAGAGCACTCCAAAGCAGCTGCCTCACTCTTTTTTTCACACTAGAGTCCACGTAAGACCCCCACCCCACGCCTCCCACTCTACAAAAAGAACTGCTGGATGTGGAAGATGGGTATTGGAAAGGCCCAAACGGCTCAGCAAGGTTGCAGACCCGCCTGAAGGGAATCAAGCCAAGGATCCATGCTACAATGCAAAATGCAAACACAACCAGGCCACCTGGAATCACAGGATCTGACATGCGCTGCGAAATGAGAGCATCCAGGGTGGATCCAAGCCGTTCCTGAGTGTCTTTGGCTCCTGCTAGGCCACCTTGGCGGAAAACGGAGTCGAAGTGCAAGTTTCGATGTCATCAAGATTGTCTGCAAGTCACGAATTCGCCAGGCCACCAACTGAGCACTAACCTGACAAAAATGCCACTGGTGAATTCGCTCTCTACAAGGACGGTGACGGCAGCCTCATCTGCACACAAGGCTTCCCATTCCTCTCTGAGCTTTCCCTCCCACTTCGACAGCTCGTGCCTTGGGATGTGGCTTCCCAGCATGATGCACTCCAGCATGCACGAACTACTCGCTCGCTGACTGAATGCAAGCAAAGAAGCTCGACCCACTTTCGTTTCAATGAATGCAAGGACTGCGCCCTGCCCTTCGAGGGGCCTTGAAGGTGAGGCTTGCACTGTCTGTCAAGTGGCCAAGTGCAGCAACCACGGGGCCAACTCTCAACCAGAGCCGGAGATAGTTGTAGTTATAGATAGTGCATGTGTTATGGCAGTTATGGCTGTATGAGATATCAGATATACAACATCCCCCGGCCGAAACGTCCTGAGTTTGTTCGTGGCTCTGAAGGGACTAGAGCCGCATCAGGCCTGCACCATCATATTCCGGTGCAAAAAAAATTAAGGCATTCAGAAATCTTGAACAAAGTTCGTCTTTCTGCACTGTGCTGCACTTGTATCTCACAGTGATGTTGCTCCTGAGCGTGTCCCTGAGGGCAGCAGCACGAGTTGTGTACTCAGACTGGTCACTCCGGGAAAGAGAGCGCCACTGGGCAGCTGCTTCCTGGATGTGAATCACGAGCAAGGATGGCTTTGTGGAACTCAAGAATCAGTGGCGCCCTGTTGTACTTACATTCTCGACTCGTCCGATTTGACCCTCGCAGCGCAACGGACCCCACCCACCTTCGCAATGCTGCTGAAGCAAGGCATTCCAGGCCCATCCCCCTTCGAGAGCTCAGTGCGGACACGATTGAAGTTCTCGTTCACAAAGAGCATGTAGCCTCGACAGAGTCAAAATGCTTTGGCAGGGGAACATCACTGAACCGTTGTCCATAGCCTGATCCTGGAGCACGTTTGCGCTTCACCGGCGGTGCTCGCTCTTCGGTCCGCATTTGAGAAGAGCGATCCTAGTGAAATGCTGTGTGTATGCATGTGTCCCACCCAACGTGTGTTCTTCATTTTCATATTGGTCTGGCAACGTGCATGAGATTTTCGCTGAGATTGAGATTGAATCAATGCTTCCGGCTCCTCCTGCTGGTATTGCGCTTGGCTCCCGCTCGCGGTCTGGCTTTCAGGGTGCTCCTGGTAATCCCATCTGAAACCGGAAACTTGGTCGACTGGCCGCACACCACGTCATCACAGCCTTGTCTAATGTCAACATTGTTTGCAGTCATGCAGCCAGGACACAGCAACCGAAGCCCACGGCTGCTCACAAGGTTCTTGTTTTTGCACCAGGGAGTGCAGCAGACCTTGAGCCTCTTTGCGAAGCGGCCTACTCACCCAATCAACAGCATACAGTAAGTCCTAAGATGTCCTAAATTTCCTAAACATTTTTTGGCAGAACTGTAGTACTGCGAGATGAGGGGAGCTGCCTTCTTGCAAGTACACGTGTGACTCGTGTTTCCCAAGTCTGCATCTCAATGTCTCTCCCCCTCTCTCTCTCTCTATCTGTCTCTTTGTGGTTTTCTAAGTAGGGCTTATGCTGCTCTCCTGCGGTGGTTTGCTGCACAGAGCTGATGCAGTCAAGTTCTAACTCGTTTGATTGCCTAGACCTCTAAGTAAAATACCTGTCTCATGCGTTGTTCCGCTGTATAGTGCCAATGCAATAAAGTGCCGATGTAGTTAAGGGCTAATGAGTCTCTGGTACCACCCAGAACCATGCTCTTACGAGCTTCTTCTCAAGTGTGAGCGCGCGGTCGGGTGCGGTGCTTGAACCTGAAGGCCTGGACATCTTACGGCTCACATACGCCAACAGAAGGCCGGCCTTTGCAAGCAAGGCATCCTCCGGCTCGTCCCTTGGAAGCTGTAGCCCGCAGCTGGCAAAGAGCGTCCTTGAAAGAAACCATTGAAACTTGGCAACCTCTATCGCTATACCAATCTGGCTTGCATTGCCTCCGCCAAAAAGTGCGAATCAAAGCTTTTGTCTGGTTTTGTCACTTGCAAAATGTGCCAGCCGCCTTATGAGAGTCGCATCGCTTTTTTCAGTGGTCGCCAATGCCATCGCAAAGTGGAAGAAAATCCGAGGTGGGGAACCGTGACTTGAAGTAGTTAGCTGAAGATAGCTGCAAGACGAAGGTAGTGCGCATCACATGCATCACCAAAATCAACATGATCTGAGGGTTCAACCCATTCAGCACAAAATTGGGCCAAGATGCAGTGAGTTCCCTCAATTTTCGCTCGAACTCTGAAAAATGCAGCCTAAGTGAGAAGCGCGCATGGACATGGAAAGGCATCTATAGTCCAAATATACTGCGAGGGAACATGCTTTGGAAGCTGGAAATAAATAGTTTTCGTGGCCTTGAAATTGGTGCCCTGTCGCAGTCACGTCTGTTCGCCGCAGCATTTCGGAAGCCTTCCGAGTGCTAATCACAATGGCAGGGATGAAATCGGCGCAGGACATTGAAAAATAGGCCCATGCCTTCCGAATGCAAATCACAATGGCAGGAATGAAAATAGGCCCAAGCAGTGGCCAAATAGGCCCAAGCCTTCCGATGGCAAATCGCAATGTCAGTGATGAAATAGGCCCAAAGATTCTCTGAAATAAGTTGTCTTTTAACTTTTCTCTATAAAATTCAGAGACTTCTTGGGCCTATTCTGCCCTACCATTAGGAATTGTTCCTGAACGCTTGGTCCTATGCTTGGGCCTATGTCATCTCTCACATTGTGACTTGTGTTTGGAAGGCTTGGGCCTATTTTGGCGACTTCTGCTCCCTACCATTAGGAATTGGCCTACACCCTTACCTTTTTAAGACATTGAGACAATCGTCCCCCACCATGAGAGGACGAACGCCTTTGCTGTCTTGTTTGTCTTGTTTCTTGTCACCTACTCGCGAGGGCCCCAACCTGCCTTCGACGGCCTCCAACCTAAGAGCGAAGACCTCCAACTTTGACCCCTTTGCTGTCTTGTGGTTTCGTGTCTCCAACCTACCAGCGATGGCCCCTCAACCTGCCTTCGACGGCCTCCAACCTAAGAGCGAAGACCTCCAACTTTGACCGCTTTGCTGTCTTGTGGTTTCTTGTCTTCAACCTACTAGCGATGGCCTCTCAACCTGCCTTCGATGGCCTCTAACGTAAGAGCGATGACCTCCAACTTTGCACCTTGTTTTACTCAGGTTTTTTTAACCTAGGCTGGCGTGTGGCACCGCTGTCAAGTCCGTATGCATATCCATAAGTGTGTTTGGCCTCGCGCCAACCCGGGATGAGCCCGCAGAGTGCCTCCCGTGGACCCGTCGAACGGGGTCGTTATCCCCCTGCCCAGAGATGTAAGTACAGCAGATGGCTTACGCCACAAGAAGTGGGATGTTTGTCTCATCTTTGGAATTCCAAGCTGGCTTATGCCTTTACGTGACCGCAGCGGTCAAAGCAGCCAGCCATATTGGCACGGCGCGCAGCGGCCGAAGTTTGTTCAAGGTTCATTGGAATGTGTGGAGAACTTAGCCCCCCTTCTCCCCCCTTCCCTCCCCCTTTTTCTTTTTGCTTTCTGGGGTTTTCCTGAATGTAATACTCAGGATCTCCCCTCTCTTTCTTTGGTGTGTCCCTGGACGATTGTTCGTAGCTGGGAACACCTTCCTTTCTCTCCTCTCCCTTTCTCTCCCTCCCTCTTTCTTTCCTTCTCTTTTTCCTCTCTTCACCCTCTTCCCTGGGCGTCCCTGGACGCTTTCGTCATAGCTGGGAGCCCTTCCTTCTTGATGTGTCCTTGGACGCTTGTGCCGTAGCTGGGAACACCTTTGCTTCCTTCTCTCCCTCCTTCTCTTTTCCTCCTCCTCTCTTTCCTCGCGCGTGGCGTATTTACAAGCAAACTAGGCTTCTGCAACAGGTTTCTCAATGAGGTTTGGACTGTCATCGGTTTGTCCCCTTTCATTTGGTTCCCCTTTCATCCGCCCCCACAGACGTTTCCCCTTCTTTTCTTTCATGTCCTTCTGTCTTCATGTCTCTTCATCCTCATCCTTTCTTTCTCTTGCGCGCACTATCGTCCGGACTTTAGTTTGTACACATACACGCACGCGTACTCTACTTACAGCGAGGTTCAGGTGGCCCAGGTTCGTTACAATGAGGTTTGGCTCATCGGTTGTCCCTCTTCACTTGGCCCCTTTTCGTCGGCAACCACACACACCTTTGTCTGTCTTGTCCTTTTCATTTTCATCTGTCCCTTTTGCGCGCACATGTGCCCACCTCCTTTCCGGGCAGGATGGAGGTCACACATGCCTCCCTGCGGGGAGGCGTGTGTGTGTAACCCTTGGAATCAAAGGGAACCTTAAGGTTTGGAACAGGGGGACGGGACGCCTCTGGCATTTCCCGTCCAACGAAGCAGGTGCTGATACAGTGGGGGACGCCCCACTGTGCACCTGTTCCACTACTTAGGAGAACAGGCGGAAATGGTACTCGACACACTTGTGCGTCGGCGCCTTTCCTTCTGTTCTCCTCTAGACTACCCTATAGGTTGCAGGTAGGCCTCCAAACTTTGTAACAGGGTTCTTAACCTGAACTTTGGCCTCCACCCACTAGAATGGACCCCCAACTGTGGCTGTTTTGCTGTCTTGCCTGTCTTGTTTCTTGTCACCTACTAGCGAGGGCCCCCAACCTGCCTTCGACGGCCTCCAACCTAAGAGCGAAGACCTCCAACTTTGACCGCTTTGCTGTCTTGTGGTTTCGTGTCTCCAACCTACTAGCGATGGCCCCTCAACCTGCCTTCGACGGCCTCCAACCTAAGAGCGAAGACCTCCAACTTTGACCGCTTTGCTGTCTTGTGGTTTCTTGTCTTCAACCTACTAGCGATGGCCTCTCAACCTGCCTTCGATGGCCTCTAACCTAAGAGCGATGACCTCCAACTTTGCACCTTGTTTTACTCAGGTTTTTTAAACCTAGGCTGGCGTGTGGCGCCGCTGTCAAGTCCGTATGCATATCCATAAGTGTGTCAGAGTGCGTCAAGGCAACGCTAGCTATGCGCCAATCTTCTTCCACCCCCCCATTGACGTCAATTCACCCAGAAATACCACTGTAAAGTGGAATGTTGGTAGCGGCGCCTATACTGGAAACATTTGAATGTGTGACGCTGCACAAAAATTTGCGCTACGGACAGGATTAGGTATATGCAAGGAAGCCTTACGCCAAAGAGCTTTTCTCTCATGCTAGGTTGCCGCGTGCGTTCTGATCGTGTGTCTTTAGCCAATCCCGGGTAGAGGGCTGTGCGGCTGGATATGGTATAGATTATCCCACCGAAAGTTGCATTCAACGTCTGTTTGTGAAGCCAACCTGGGAGACTTACTGCGCATGCATGCTGAAGGCAATGTACAATGGACCCTGGCTTGTCGCTTCGCGCAGAAAGCACTGGGTCTTCAGACTCTTGTGCACAGCGCAGCTCCAGCAGCCTTGCAAGTCTATGAGCAGTTTAGATTGAGGCAGGCTCACGCAGCTCCAGGCGAGCCATTGACAAGGTGAGGCATCCAAAAGTGGGCGATGCGCTGGCGGAAGCGATGGTCTGTCCGCCGCGGACGTCTCCGCGTTAGAGACTGCGTGGATCCTGCCGATCTACGGGCAATTGTTTGGTCTGAAAAACGAGTCCATCTGGCGGCCTTTGAAAAAAGGCCCCATTAATGCGTTGGTGCTAAAAGTAAGGCCGGAAAGCGGATTCACTTCTGGCACCGGTACGCAGACGCAAAAATCACAATTTGAGCAACCATTCACCTCACGCGATCTTGGGCCTCAGGCTTGGACCTTCTGGCAAAGTTTGTCGTACATCGCCGACAAATAGAAAGATCGGAAGCTGCTCTGGTTAAACTTTGATGAGACGTCCGTAGCATATGCGCCACAGTGTCCGACTGGGTGCATCGTTTCTAGGAAGCATTGGAAGGTCAATCCACATTGCACAGTGCGCAAAGAGGCCTTGGGTATCAAGCCCGGTCAAACCTTGGAGCCGTTTTCCACTGTGTTTTTTTGGCCAAAGGGTTGCTGACACGCAGTGACGAAAAGCTTTCCTGTAGGTCAAGAAGCGTAGCCGGCTGATGAAGAAGGCGCAAGGCCTGACGGTGGCGGACCTTGCTTGGCTAGTGGCCCAACGTGCTTCCGAGTGAACGCGGCCAAGTGCAGAACCTTGGTGAAGCCATGCAGGGGTGCAGCACTTTGGATTCTACGTCAGGGCGCTCTTCGCGCAATGGTCTCTGCGATCTTGCGACCGGGCGAAGCCCGGGTGTGGACGCATGTGTCACTTCGCTTCTAAAAGAAGCAATGAACCGTTCATTGTACACGCACGCTTGCTGTAACTGAGATGGTGGCGTGACTTGAATCAAAAGGCCACCGTATGAACGCGTGCTCCTTTCAACCGTGCTAGCACTGCGAGGGGGCATGCTTTGGAAGCTGGAAATTAATAGTTTTCGTGGCCTTGAAATGGGTGCCCTGTCGCAGTCACGCCTTTTCGTCGCAGCATTTCGGAAGCCTTCCGAGTGCTAATCACAATGGCAGGGATGAAATCGGCGCAGGACATGAAAAATAGGCCCATGCCTTCCGAATGCAAATCACAATGGCAGGAACGAAAATAGGCCCAAGCAGTGGCCAAATAGGCCCAAGCCTTCCGATGGCAAATCGCAATGTCAGTGATGAAATAGGCCCAAAGATTCTCTGAAATAAGTTATCTTTTAACTTTTCTCTTTAAAATTCAGAGACTTCTTGGGCCTATTCTGCCCTACCGTTAGGAATTGTTCCCGAACGCTTGGTCTTATGCTTGGGCCTATTTCATCTCTCACATTGTGACTTGTGTTTGGAAGGCTTGGGCCTATTTTGGCGACTTCTGCTCCCTACCATTAGGAATTGGCCTACACCCTTACCTTTTTAAGACATTGAGACAATTGTCCCCCACCATGAGAGGACGAACGCCAAATCCTCCTCTTACGCGAGTTATCCGACTTTGAATCAACAGCAAAATCACACGAGCCGCTATGTCGCCTGTTGGGCGATGGCGGCGGCGCTGCTCGTCAGCGCTGATGTGTGAGTGAACTCGTGGAGGCGAGGCCGCTCGGCTGTTAAAGCCGGCTCTGCTAACTTCATGGCCGGCGCGGGGCCATTCCTGGGCTTGTTGTTTTTTGAGAACACAATTGTTGCAAAGTCTGGGCGACCTTCGCAGAAATTTGTGGAAGGTGATTAGATGTACTAATTTCCTGAGTGATAAATTAAAGCAATCTTGGTTCACCCTTTCCCGCTCACAC